AAAGATCCGTAAAAGTCCGCTGCGGATAAGAGTCCGGGATGCTCATATTATCTGGAATCTGTTCGATGGTTACGACTGGCAGCGAACCAGAGATACTATTTCTAAAGCTGTGAAGGACGTGGAGAAGAAAGCCACGGAGCGGCGCGCCCGAGCCGGTAGTCGGACCTCACCAGGTTTCGAGGAAGAAGAGGAATCGGTTATCGGCGACTGTCTGTTCAACTCCATATATATTGGAATTCCTGCAAACAAGGATCCTCGAGAGCTTCGCAACGATATCAATCGTAACATTGACGATCTTGCCAGCGAGACAGGCAGCTATGCGACAACTACCACTGTCACTGGGGCCACGGCGCGTCAAGGCCGGTCGCCTTCGTATAGAGGAAGAAGGCTGAAATTGTATAGGAGTAAATATCACAAGATGACGTTTGAGCTGAAAGGCATTTGCGCGGATTTCGTCGTCTTCCCTCCTGGCTCTGAAGAGACGCAGAGTTCGCTCGACGTGCGTGTGAACGACCTGGAGATCTTCGACCACGTTCCTACGTCAACATGGAAGAAGTTCGCGACGTATATGCATGAGGCAGGCGAGAGGGAAAGTGGGGCCAGTATGGTTCATTTGGAAATGTTGACTGTGCGGCCTGTTCCAGAGCTGGCAGCGTCCGAGCTTGTTCTCAAGGTCAGCATTTTGTTACCCGGTTGTGTGATCTAAACAGCTGTATTAACATGTTACAGGCAACTCTTCTCCCTTTGAGACTGCACGTAGACCAGGATGCCCTTGATTTTATTTGCCGATTCTTTGAGTTCAGGGATGACTCTGCACCTACACCTAGTTCACCCGCGGACATTCCGTTCTTGCAACGAGTGGAAGTCAACGCTGTGCCTGTCAAACTTGACTTCAAGCCCAAGCGCGTAGACTACGCTGGGCTCAGGTCAGGCCGGACAACTGAGTTCATGAACTTCTTTGTCCTTGATGGCGCGGATATGGTCATGCGGCATGTCATCATTTATGGAGTGTCCGGTTTTGATAAACTGGGTCAGACACTAAATGACATATGGATGCCAGACATCAAGAGAAATCAACTTCCGGGTGTTCTTGCTGGCCTGGCTCCCATCAGATCTCTAGTCAACGTGGGAGGCGGTGTTAAAGACCTCGTCGTGGTTCCTATGCGAGAGTATCGCAAGGACGGCCGGATCGTCCGAAGCATCCAGAAAGGGGCGCTCGCTTTTGCCAAGACCACTTCGAATGAACTCGTGAAGCTTGGTGCCAAGCTTGCCATTGGCACTCAAACGGTTTTGCAAGGAGCTGAGGAGATGCTGACCACACCGACCGCGCCGACACTGGGTTCCGAAGAAGACATGATTGACGAAGAGGAGGCGAACAAGATCTCGCCCTATGCAGATCAACCGGTGGGTGTTGTACAAGGCCTCCGGGCGCGTTCCGCGGCTTGGAAAGGGACTTGCTTCTCGCCCGTGATGCCGTTGTTGCTGTTCCTGGCGAAATTGTGGAGAGTGGTAGCGCGAAAGCTGCCGCTAGGGCCGTTTTTAAACGTGCTCCAACCGTCATTCTTCGACCAGCGATTGGAGTCTCTAAGGCCGTTGGGCAGACGCTCCTCGGGGCTGGAAACACTTTGGACCCGAGCAATCGCCGAAAGATCGAAGATGTAAGTGTCGTGGTGAACTATGTCTCTCAAGTTTGCTTGCTGACTTTTCTGCTTAGAAATATAAACGCCATTAAGATTGTCGACCATGTTGGGCAGTTTGACCTTACTTTGTGCTATTTTGACCAAGATGATACCTTATTTTCATTGCGCATATCTCAGACGAGCCGTCCATGCCGTTATGCTATGATTGTTACTTTTTTTCCTGCTCTATATCCCCCATTTCCAGACTGTTCCCGGTACATATTGATTAGCTGACAGGCGGGCCGTTGAGATCAATGCTGTCTACGATGATGAATGACTTGAGAAATGTTCACGACTTTGTTCAGATTCCCGTCAAAGCATAGATTGGTGTTGGGATTTTTGTCTACTAGCCTTGCATATGATGAACTCAGCGACTTGCTAATCTTCAAATGAACTGGAATGAGATTGCTCTATGTTGTTCTAGTAAAGAGGGTTCTGTACCTGAAGAGGATAGGTTCTGTAGATGTGGGCTGCCTGTTCTGACAATCCGGTAGATTCTTAGAAAAGAACCAAGGCCCTTCTTTATTCGCCTTCAAAGTTACACAGACACAGCAATGCCAGAGTGTCAGTGCGGTTCACCCAGCCCAACGAATTCCTCTCCTGGGCCGTTTGACATGTGCCGCTGCCACACCCTTTCAAGTTGATGTCAGACAATAATATCGTCATCATTGTCGATGTCTTCCCATTGAAAAAGTCTGTAGTAAGCCGGGGCCCGCAATGAAAGGCTACTGCAAGGGCCAGCGACGAATAAAACCCCCAGAAGCGACTTTCGCCTCCAGATCCCTACCAGGAGGCTTAACTCTCTTCGTTAGTGGGTGCTCGCAAAGCCCAAACTGAAACAAAGATGGCTTGCAGTTCCTGGCAGTAGCACTAGAAAGACCAGTGATCAATCACGGTTGATCGAGGGCCAAGTGGATCGTCATCGAAAAGAAAAATTGAGGGGTCATCTGGTGTGACGAGGGTGTGGTTGATTCTGTGTCGGCATTGGGGCCACGTTTCCTGGTGCCCAAGTTCCCAACTAGGTGGTGTGGAACTGTGAACTGTGATTCTGTGACGGGTGTGATGATCGTTCATTTGAAGTTGTGAACTTCAGTGGATGACGGTTGATGGTGAGGGTTGTAGACGACTGGTCATCGCTGTTTTGGGTGGGTTTGAGGCTGGCGATTGGATGCGGCCGAGTTCGAGGGTCGAGTTCGTTTTGGGTTGCATGTGCGCTAGCCTTTTCGACTGTTGATGCTCTCTAATGTATATTCAGCCTGATGTGGTGCCGCTTTAGCTATTGTGAGTCTCTTTGGGTTGTGCGTGGATTGATCGAGTGCGTGCAGACATGATGCTATACTCTTCAGGCAAATTAATAGGGTTATTGTCATAGTGCCGCTGTTTGTATTCGTTTATCTCAATTAGTAACATCTGCTATTACCGTGATTCTCTGAGTCTTACCTGTCAAGCTCCTTGATGACTTTAGCTTCTCTCCCAGATGCAAACTAACTATAGGGAGCTCACTCGCTCTCCCCAGTATGGAGAATACAGTCCACGTACTCTGGAGACTACGGTCCATAGCATGCTGGATCAAAAGTCAGTAAGTTCAATCCCCCAAGTCTGGCTGATAAAGACATGACACTGAGTACTAGGCAGCATAACCACCTCAGTCGACAGCTTTGTGTCCCAAACCAGTGACAAATCAGAGCATATTTGCTAAATGGATGTCATCCTATACCACTGTACCTGAAGATGCATATCTCTAAATGGAGATATTTGGCAGAGAATGCAGCTCTTACATCAGCTTACTGTTATCATTCTTGCTGTGTTTCTGGCTAAGTACGGTACTTATGAATCCTTTGACACTAACTGGCTAATTTGTATAGAACCAGCTGAAACCATTCCCGTGATGAAACATTAGTGGCATGATCGGAGCAAGGGATTGAAATGCCTTGCCCCATTAAACTGTCATCGCTGAAGAACAGAGGATATCCAATGACCAAATATGCCTATTGTGATGCTTTTGCTGTGGTTATTGAGTTGGATATGCTGTTGCCATGCTTGATCTATAATGGAGGTGCTTAAAGCTCTTTGATTTCTGCCATGGGATGCAAACCTGAGGTTGTGAGCCACGTACTGCTAGAGTGCTCACATACTTCTGACACTGTCAAGCTCTATTACTCCATCCATGGCTATGACAGCATCCTCTAAGGGAAAGTACTCGGATCGGCCTCTTTTGAAGGATGTCCGTCATTGAATCCAGGAGTAATGTTATAATCTGCTCATCTATGAATCCTCCTTTACAATCTAATCAGGGGCAATCGCCGGTGAGTCAGGTGGTCTTTTAACAGTAGCAGCTTTAGTAAAAAAAAATAAACACTCCGAGGGCAACAGACATAGCTGTCATTCTCTCCACAATAAGTTAATCAATATCAAATCTATCTAAATATTTAAAGGGGCTACTGCATAGTGCGTGTTCATTATTCCAAGTGAGTGGTCTTAATCCTTCTATGTGGCGCCCAGAAGCAGCGACAGGGCTCCCTTGATGCAGAAGAAAATCAATACATGGCTGGTTATTTTTAATTCCATGATTGATTATTGATTTTGACCTGGCAATGTGACGTTTGCTTGTTTCTTTTTTTGTCCAGGGCCCATCTGTCTCTTCTTTTTATCTTTTTACAACCTCTTCGTCCCCCTTTCTTCTTCTCTCCTTTTTTGTTTATAGTCTGACTGCGGAAGGTCAGAACAATAATGTCTGTTTCTTTGTCTTGATTCATGGCCCTAACGGTCGGAATATATCCTGACCTCACGTTACCTGTACTTGTACCCTCAATGCCTTCAGACAGTGGCCTGCTTCAATTGACAGGCTTTCTATTATCGCTCCTTTATTTCTAAGGTCTTTCTCAGCGGGACGAGCGTATCTTTTCACCTTCAAAAAGACAAGCTATCATGGATCTCGATCATGACCATCAAATCTGGCAAAGCGGCTGCCATGAACCTCTCCAGCTTCACCCCCACTAAAACAGTCTATCAAATCTCCAACTCTGGACTCTCCTTCTTTTTCATCGACCGCCTTTGATGCCGCAACGCCGAAGCCGGGATATCCGGGAGCATTATCCCTGCACCACTACCGGAGGTTTCTTTCGCAGGATGACGGCTTCATCGCCCTCAATCGCAACGGCGGGAAGACCCTACGGCGCAAAAACGCAGCCTTGGATCTGAACAAAAGCCAAACGAGCTTGACCCCTCCGTTGTGTTCGTTTTCCGTCTCATCTGCGGCGTCGAGCCCGCCTCCGCTGTCGCCATCATATACGCCCAGTCCCGTCTCATACCGAGGTGAGAATGGGCCTGGGCTTGATGAATCACTCCGTACGTGTTAATCGTTGTCATACGATGTGGTGATATGCTAACGGATATAGTTTCCTTTCCATCCAGTTTCTTAGATATCAACACTTCAGAGCAAACGCTCCGTCCGAGTCCCCTGCATAGTCCGCATCAATTGCTGGTGAGTTTGCTGCAAACCACACGGTTACCTGCGCTGATGAGATATAGGAGACTTTCCGAGCTAGGCTCGCCCGGTTCCCAGAGCCAGAGTCACAGGAGCAAACATTCACTCCCAGACATACCAAGGCCCGCTCAGATTCGATGCTGCTGGAACTGCGACGTCCAACCGCCACAGTTGAGCATCAGGGGACTTCGTTTGAAATCCTTAATCCGCATGAATCGTTGAAATTCGCCCGGATAGTCTCATACATCGAAGACGTGGATAATTCGTCCATCACAGACGACCAGCGGGACTCGTTCAACGCAACACGGCCTCAGAGCGAGACCTTGATCTTGGAGCATGACGAAACCATTGAGGCGACCCATGATCACAAGCCGGACCACGACCATTACATCTCCGACGCCGACGAAGAAAGAGCCCACTACGAACTCATCGGCGACATACCGTATCAGCCTATGCCATCCATCTCTGAACGACTAAAGGGAAATGAGACCGATATTCCGCAGTCGCACAAGTGGAGCTCGCCTCCGCAGTCCAGGCCGATGACGGCGCAATCATACGGAAGTGAACTCGGGGAGCCGGGGTACTCGGTTCTAGCGTCCTACGACGGGGCAGGATGGACGAGCACCACGGACGATATAATCGCGATGAAGTATGACGAGATGCAGCGGAGCGAATCGAACAAGAGGTCTTCATCACATCGGAAGAAGCGCGGGAATCGCAATCCGTTTAGAAAGTTACGCAGCTTTGCGCGTTCCCTGCGGAGGGGCCGGCTTTTTCGATGATAAAAGGTTGACAGTGCTGTGTCCGAGACACCGCGGTGTGAGTGGGTTCCTATATGACAGCCTGGAGCTGGTCTCTGTTTCATTGCGATAGATTAGCCTGGTATATACTTTAATCTCTTCATCCTCCGGTGTGGTAAGGTGCGTCGCCATTCTGACGTAGTTAGTTACCAAGCCCTGGGTTGGTTCATCATGAATATCCAACCCATAGACGAAACCCCAGTCATTCACAGTCGACATCCTCAGCTCAAAAGCGAACACTGAACTGACCAAAATATGGAAAACCACCCAACGGCCCTCTCCATCATCGAGTCCGAGAACCTCACCCACGCCCTGCCGGACAAAGTCATCCTAATCACAGGCTGCTCCTCCGGCCTCGGCGCCGCAACCGCCCGCGCCTTCTCCAAAACAAATGCAACCCTCTTCCTCACCGTCCGCGACATCCCCAAAGCCCGACACGTCCTGGCCGACCTCCTCGCCCCTGCGTCTGACTCTGACTCCACCACTGCCTCCGATCAAGACAGCAAACTCTCCTCCTCCCAAGGTGAGATCCGCATCCTCCACATGGACCTCGCCAGCCTCTCCAGCATCCGACACGCAGTGAACCTCTTCCTCTCACAAAGCGACCGACTCAACATCCTAATCAACAACGGCGGCGTAATGGCCACACCAGAAGGCCGCACAGAGGACGGCTTCGAAACACAATTCGGCACAAACCACCTCGGCCATTTCCTGCTCTTCGAGCTCCTAAAACCTATCCTTTTGCGGTCTGCGACACCACAGTTCCACTCGCGGGTGGTAGGCGTGACGTCGTCAGCGCACCGGAAGAGCGGGATCCGGTTTGGGGATTTGCAGTTCGAGAGAGAGAAATATGACGGTGCGCTGGCGTATGCGCAGAGCAAGACGGCGAATATCTATATGATGAATGAGATTGAGAGGCGGTTTGGGGAGCAGGGGCTGCATGGGCTTAGTGTGCATCCGGGGCTGATTTTCACGGGGCTGCAGAAGTTTGTGGATGATGGGGTGATGGACGAGTGGCGGAAGCCTGGGATGAGGCCGTATCTGAAGACAGATGAGCAAGGGGCTGCGACGGTTGTGGTGGCGGCTGTGGGGAGGGAGTGGGAAGGGCAAGGCGGGAAGTATTTGGAGGATTGTAGGGAATCGGGACCGGCGAAGACGGGTTTTCGGACGGTTGATCCTGGGTATGCGATGCATATTTGGGATCAGGAGAGCGCGGAGAGATTGTGGGAGGAGTCTCGACGGTTGGTTGGGTTGCGAGAGGATCAGGACGAGAGTGACGCATACGTGGACGTGAAATGAACAAGTTGATACGCTCTGACGAAGTATATACAGGCCGGGTATCTATCTCAATATGTACAGTAGAAAGAAAAGCCTCTCAACGGGTAGTAGATCCTAGTAGATCAAGTCGACTGCGGTGCCTTTTCAACCACAGAGGCCAAGGCGGCGCTGACCAGACTCTTCCTTCTCAAACCTTGATCGCTTTTCTTGCGGTAATCCCGGCTCGATGACAGGCAATAGTTCTTTTCGATACGGTGAGATGAAGGAACGCCAGCAGTGCTTTTCCGGCGGTCCCGATGCTCAACCCCTGATGTATCAGAAAGTCCGGAAGTGGCGGTTATCGGTCGATAACGGCTCCGGCTGAGCGTGACAGCCCGCCTACGGGGCGACAGCTGCGGGGGTAGTGAGCTTGGATGACAATCGTCCTCGTTGGATGGGTTGAACTCCGATGGCTCCTCTTCAGAAATAAGAGCCCGTCGAATGGCTTCGATGTCTGAAGGATTGCATTGCAGGCGGGAGATATGTTGTCGATGTGCCCGAATGTTCATCGTAGTATCAAGTCCACTGTTCAACAGGCCCTCGAGAGCCCCGCCCTGCGGCGTCAAGTCCAGCGGGGCGGATAGGGCTCCAAGAAATGGAGATTGCTGATGAGGTGACAATGAGGGTGAGAGAGAGGCCATCGACGCCGAGTCACAGTATCCCTCGTCGTCATGGTCCGTGTCGGGAGGCGTCAGGAAGTACCCATGAAATTGCCCAAATACCGACCCCATATCGGACACCGACCGGGGCGTTGACGGCGAGGTGGGTACGTCGTCAACTCTCTCCTCCTGAGACTGGCTCTGGATAGTATGCTCATGGAGCTTCCTTGTCAATGTGCTGATGGAGAGCCTTTTGCCGTCGTAAGCGGAGAACGGCACAGATGTAGGCGGCTGAGGGGAGCGAAAGTGTGATGATCGCGAGTGATGCAAACTCCGAGGAAATTTTTGCGACGACGTCGATCTAGGTGAGGGGCACCGAGAGGACAATGGCGAGATCATAGAACCATCACCATCAATCATGAGTCGATCGTCCCCGTCGAACGCCAGCCGCGGAGGTCTGGTGGACGACGGTGAAGAGAAGGAAAAGTCCTCGAACATGACGCCGTGTTTAACCTTCGAACCGGCTGTAACGAGCGTTGTGTAATGGCCAGTTGGTTTTGTATATGCCTAGATCATCTGATGGTAATGAGTGCTGAGAATCACCAGAATTGAAGTATCAGGCGGCAGCGCGTCTCGGGCAACTTATTATAGAGCCTAGACACTACCCAGATTGGCCACTTCGGACTTCTCCCGTTCCGCTGTGCTGCAGGAAAAAGAAAAACCACGCTAGACAGTAAAAATGAGAAAGAAGAAAAGCAAAAAGAGTGGCACTGGGGCGCTTAAGGCTGTTTAAGGCCTTAAACCCACAGAATGTCCGAACCCTGGGGCAAAATGAACGGAATAGGCGAAGGCCGTGGGGAATCAGTGGGCGGCTGTGACGCTGTCTCACCGGCGGAAGGAGAATTACAGACTGATGGTTGGTGGGCAGAAGAAAGGCACCCTCCGGCTATCCATGGTTCGATAATCAAGGACCAGAAGAAAAGAATAATGGAAGGAGAGACACAGGAGATGATAAGGGAGTCTCGTTTGCCCCTTTTTCTCCATATTTATTTATGAACACTTTGTATCTAAATTGGAATCGACACAGGAAAAGCTAGAGAGTGCTCCGTGCATATGATGCCTCAGGGGCCAGACTCGCTGACTAAGCCGACTTGCTATTCGCCCTCTCCCTTACGTCTCAAGTAACCGTGTTTCGTTGGTATCCTGGAGTCTGTTCGTTTATGGCTTTGACGGAGGATGAACAATGCTACGACACCATCAGATCTACGTGGCGGGGACCATTCCCATATGGACAAGTTGTTTGCCGGCCTCGTGCCGGAGAGAATCGATGCTCAACGGAAGAGCTGTATTGGTCGCCAGGCCTTGCGGAAGAGCAGATCCAAAAAGATCGCCAGCAGTAATGTGAAGAGAGACGCCAGTCGCGTTGGCTGGAAATATGACCTATTATGATGTTAAATCATCTCTCGGCCCGCCGTTGAAAGGGAAGATAATACTTACCGCTTCTTGTTGGAGCACAGGGTTTCCTGCTGCATCCGGCACATACAAACCTACCTTTCCAGTTACTTCATTGCTTCTTCCCCTACGCGCGAACTTGATGATTATGACAATCTTGACATATGGACGGCCCCCCACCATCCATAGTCTCACATCTTCCATAAGTTCCCGGTGTGACTCTGACCATCCCATTTCAATAACGAGTGAAGGTTGATACTCATTGTCTGGCTTCAGGCAATAATCCGGTTCTTTTCTCGAGTTGGCGTAAGGGCCAGCGAAACGTGATTGCACTGTCCAGAGTTAGCAATATCGTATAGGATAGCAGCAGAATGCTCACATGGGCTCATGAGCATTGTCAAATTCCTCAGCTGCCGATCTGTGACGAGATTCTGTTCTCGCCAGTCGGCTTCCACATTTCTCATCCAATTACCGTGACATACATGCAGAAGCGTTGGCATGATCCTAATCCGAACCGTCTGTGTTACGGTGTTGTAGTTTATTCTGAACACAAGATGAGCACAACCAGCAAGGAATATATGTAGATATGATTTGACAATGTAACTTACTTCGCGTTGGACCTTTCAGTGTCTTCGTGGGAGTCTATGGAGTCAACGATCAAGGTACCCCAGTCAGGAGGGACGGAGGAGTATGTGATCTCTGCAGAATGGTTTGTGTTAAGGATTTTTTTGCGGATGTCGCTGAACAACTGTTGTGGTGTGCGAAATTCGGTAGCTGAATGGTGAATAAACTCAGGCCAGACAACTTCCCTCTGCTCTTTTTCGCTTCTAAGCCCGCTGCGTCTTTGCGGCATTTGGGGTGTTGAGTCCCCCATCGTGAGCTAGCCAGACTACAAAAGAGTTGAAATGAAAGTGAAGATGAAGACTGAGATCGAGATCGTGACCAAGATGGAGGATAAGGAGGAGAACGATCAGTAGCTCTTATTTGTCCAAGAACCGAGACGGAAAAAGGTGAAGGTGAGAAAAGGGAGAGGCAGTAAAGAGAGAGGGAGATATGACTTATATTCAGGTAAGGAAAAGTTCTCAAAGTGATGAAGAAGAGTCTGGGAGTAAGGTGAGAGAAAGTTGGATATCTTATATTCACTTTTCTCACTTACGTAGGAAATGCCTGTCTAACCATGGTACCTAGACTGTAGGATGCGGTACTTACAGAAGAAGAACTCAAAGGAAAAGCTAAGATGTTGCCTATTCTACTATCTAGACAGCTGCTGGGCTAAATACAAGAAATAAAGTAAAAGCTCGAAGTTCTGGAAGCCCTCGAAGGCTACGCTGATAACGGACAAAGCAGCGGGATCGGCCGCCACTTCGACCCCATTTATCATGAAGTTCCCCGCATCGGTGCAACTAGTGATAACCTCAACCTGCCAACAATCGTTGCATTATTTGTCAGTCATGGCTGCCCTTTTGAAACAACCTCTTAAGCTAGCCTTAGTGCAGCTGGCTTCAGGTATGCTACGATCCCCCAAGCCTCCATGATCCCTTCAGCCAATACTAACATTCTACTCGGTTATAGGTGCGGACAAAGCCGTGAATCTCTCTCACGCAAGGACCAAGGTCCTTGAGGCTGCAAAAGCAGGCGCGAAGCTCATCGTTCTCCCTGAATGCTTCAACTCGCCGTATGGAACACAATATTTCCCTTCGTATGCCGAGACACTACTCCCGTCGCCTCCCACGAAAGAACAATCCCCCTCATATCATGCTCTGTCGGCCATCGCTGCGGAAGCCCAGGCGTACCTGGTAGGAGGCAGTATACCCGAGCTGGACACTTCGACAAAGAAGTATTACAACACCTCCCTTGTGTTCTCGCCGACAGGTTCTCTCATTGGTACACACCGCAAGACGCACCTATTCGATATTGACATCCCCGGAAAGATTACGTTCAAGGAAAGCGAAGTACTCTCGCCTGGAAACCAGTTGACCCTCGTCGATCTCCCAGAATATGGCAAGATTGGTCTTGCCATTTGCTACGATATCCGTTTCCCGGAGTCGGCAATGATCGCAGCGCGCAAGGGAGCTTTCGCGCTGATTTACCCTGGCGCCTTCAATATGACTACTGGGCCTCTTCACTGGGCCCTCCTTGGTCGCGCCCGCGCGGTTGACAACCAGATCTATGTTGGCTTGTGCAGCCCGGCTCGGGATACGAACGCAACATACCATGCTTGGGGTCACAGTCTGATCGTCAATCCTAATGCGGAGATCCTGGCAGAAGCGGCCGAGACAGAGACGATTATCTACGCAGACCTGGATAACGAGTCTATTCAGAACACTCGGAAGGGCATCCCCGTCTATTCTCAGCGACGTTTTGACCTATACCCTGATGTGAGCGCTGAGAAATGACACGCTTAGAGGATACAATTGTTGTTGCGTTCTGAGAGAAGAAAACAACCCGGGCTAGTGATAGATGAGTTATGACTAATAGACATCAATTCCAACAAATACTGCCTATTCGGAGTACAACAACTAGGTATGAAGAAGCATTAGCGTAGCCTCAACACAGTCTCGATTAGCGGCGGAGAGTGTAGCATCACGTGACAACAACCACCCAATCAGAGTGTTGCCGGACGATAAGCGAGCCACACTGAATTTCGACCACCAAAAAAACGACATCCGAAAATCCCAATTCCTTCGACAGTCGACCACATCGCCAACGACAGCCGACGTTCTGTGTCAGCCCATTCAGTCAGTATCAATTCCGCAATCTTTGTGTCGCGCAGTTTATTTTCCCCAGAACTGAAGATTACTGACATTTTATTTTCGTACTGTTCCAGAAATGTCCAGCACCGTCAAGACCACCGGCAAGAAGACTCGTTCGGCCATCGCCGACGTTGTCACCCGCGAGTACACCATCAACATGCACAAGAGAGTACGTTGAAGACGCTGGACCTTTGCTTTTGATTTCCTTTGCACACAATTCCGTGGTCAATGAATCGACCGACTCTTTGCGACCTTGCGGATCCAAAAACCCTGAGGCATGGACGGAGAACAACGTGTGGGAACATCTCGAAACAACCTTGTGTGTGAGGAGGAATCCGCTGCAGAAGGGCTTGTGCGAGATTTTTTCTCTTGGGGATTGAAATCCGAACCCCAAGGAAAGAGGAGGAACATACACAATACCACGACCACAAAAAAAGAAGAAATAGTTTGATGAAGTCCACCTCTATGGCCGCAAATAGCATCTTCGCAGATTCACTCTACCAGATGGCATTTGGGCGGAAGACTAATTTCTCCTTTTTTTGCTCGATCTATAGATGCACGGTGTTACTTTCAAGAAGCGCGCTCCTCGTGCTATCAAGGAGATCCGCGCCTTCGCTGAGCGGGCTATGGTAAGTTCTTTCTCAGGAAGTGACGAGATGGGATACAGCTAACCAGTCACGTTCGTGATCAGGGCACCAAGGATGTCCGCCTCGACCCCCAGCTGAACAAGAAGGTCTGGGAAGCCGGTGTCAAGGGCGTTCCCTTCCGCCTCCGTGTCCGCATCTCCCGCAAGCGTAACGACGAGGAGGGCGCCAAGGAGAGACTCTACTCCTACGTCCAGGCCGTCAACGTCAAGGACGCCAAGGGTCTGCACACCGCCGTTGTTGACGAATAAATGGATCGCTTCCTGCTCGGGTCTTGTGTTACGGTTGACTTGGAACAATAAAAAAATTTCCATGAAATGAAAATTTCTTTCCTTCCGCTGTAGCTTCGGTCGTCGGTGCTTCTCTTTCAGGCTCGGGAGTACGGAGTGAAATACCATCATGTGGGACCTATTGGGTAGGATTGTATCGATTGATGCGAGACTACAGAGGAACTATAGTCGACGTGACTACCAGGAGATCCTTTAATTCAATTCCTTATACCCTCTTGCTTGAAGAAAAGTATCGTCAGTAGTTCGTTCCTATAAAAATGGTCTTTGTCTGATCGAGTAAGAGGGTGTCGTATCATCAACGGTTTCATATTCGTGAGATAGTGCTAGCGAACATCAAATATCAGTAGAACCCTAATACTCAGCGATAATCTAGTTCTTTCTGAATCCAAACCAGCATATTTCTGCGCTAAGTTGCAGGCACCAAGTCCATGTGCACCATTGCATCACGAGCCTCCTTTCGAAGGATATCGATGCTCAAGGGGGAGAACTGTGTCGGCTTGCAGACCTTCTGGGAGAACTGGGCCGAAGAGATCTCCGGCACTGATCCCAACTGAGCACTCAGACTGAGTCGCAGGAAAGATGGTCTATTATCATGATGAGCCCTGGTCAGCAATAGTAAGGGCAGACAACGCACTGCTTCTTCCTGGAGGACTGGGTCGCCATTTGCGTCTCGAACGTAGAGTTCAGCTCTGCCTTCCACTTGATTGGTGTTGCCTCTGCGAGCATATATGATTATCAGAATGACCTTGATAAATGGACGGGCACCGATAAGCCAGAGTCTCATGTCTTCCAGGAGCCGCTCTTTGGACTCGGTATCTCCGCACTCGATTACGAATGAGGGGTGGTATCGATTGTCTGGACACATACAGAAGGTGGGTGTCTTCCTCGAACCCGAGTACGGGGCCTCGAATCGCCCATGGGCTACCCCGAGTTAGCAACACAGTACACCATACAACCCATAGCTGAAGACTGACTGGCGTTTGCCAATACTGTGAGAAGACGCATGTGACCGTCAATGACAAGATTCTTCCTGCGCCAGTCGCCTTCCTGGATACGCATCCAGTTAAAATGACATGCAAAGAGACGGGTAGATATAACTTTGGCTAGCAAGGTCTCTGTGACAGAGTTGTAGTTCATGCTGAGCCGAGCACGATCAGCAAGGAATATAGAGACGATTGGCATTGTTCACTTACGCGGCGTTCAAGCGTTCGATGTCGCCGTCCTCGTCTAGCGAGTGAACAATCACTGGGCCCCAGTCGGGGGAAACCGAAGTGCAGGCAATTTCCGTTGAGGATTGTGCTTGGAGAACCTCTCTTCGGATGTCTGTGCAAAGCTCTTGCCAAGTTTTGAATCCGCGTGCTGAATGATGAATGAACTTAGTAAAGGGAATGGTATGCTGGGTCAGTTCTTCCATTTTTGGCTTTGCTTCGAAGACCACGTCTTTTGGGATTCTGGAGTGAGTTATTGTTATACTGAGGGCTGTCCAGAGCTCAGAATAGTGATAGGTGTTTGATGACCGGTAAGATCTTTAAAAGAGGGAAGAAGAAGGGTGGAAAAGGGAGAGGAAGTTGAGAAGAGCGACGCATGTATCCAGTGAAAGAAACCAAGGTAAGGCTTCGTTGATCAATCGTTTAGGGATACCGAAGCTATCTACCCAAGGATAAGTAGGTACTGGGTAGATTGACTGATTAAGTCAATCCTTGGGAATGAGATTATTCAACCATGGCTGCCTCTAAAGGGCTTCCCTTATGGTATCCTTGACTCAGAGCAGTAAGAGACAGTTATCCTCGTAGGGTATGTGATATATGCGGTTGGGATGACGGCATGTATACGAGACTCTATCCTTGAGATGACTTCACTGAGATTCAGACTCTCCATAAATTATAAAAGGACTCACACCTCAATGTGCGCCATGCCACAGAAACAACGCCAGGGAATCCGTGGATAAGGATGAAAGATAAGGTATGAATGAAATTTTACATGGAGGATGCATTGCAATGGTTCGAACCCACACGCTATGCTAAGGCGCCTGTCTTGTTCCATAGATAATAACATGATGCTGATGACGCAGTGTAATTGAAATGCGAAATAGTTACACACAAGGCCATGATCTGAATGTGGGAAAATGGGGCGGCAGGAAGGATATGGAATGCAAAAATGGTTCAACAAAATGACGCCAACTTCGAGTGCTCATGGTCCAAAAAGACATGAGGAAGAATGGACAAAATACGGTCCCCAGGTAGAAAAGACAAACTTGACATGACAATCGCAGATACAAAGTAGGTTAGTCCGAATCAAAGAAATCGCATGTCAACTATGATTCCTTGGCGGAAAGAAAAATACAAGCATCGGCTTTCGGGGCCCTTCTGCATAAGCCATGGGAATCACGGTTATGGCCGGACGGAATCGGTGTAAACTGCCGTAAGAAAAAGCCGCGATAGTGTTCGAAATAGACCAAATGTACAACGCCGATTCGTGATATGTAAACACAGCTTGTGCTTACGCCTTGGACTCTTCAATTGCAGAATGCAAACGCTCAGCTTCCTCCTTCCCTTTCACTCTAACAGCCCATTGTTCCAGGGCGCCTTCAGCCTGAGGAACCAGGAACTGCACACTGTTTGCGTTAATGGTGTACTTAATATCCTTCAACAAGGCTGCGTTCAGGACAACCTTGCCACTTGGGTCGGCTCTCAAGATGATGCGAGAGCGAGAAGTGTTGCGATTTTTCAGAACACGAAGATAACCAACACCCTGGCTTTCCCAGCCTGCGCCAGGCTTGATCTTCAATGCACGCGCCCGTGTCTCTATCACAATGTCTTCGTCCTCTTCGCCCGCTCTGCTGCGAGCAAGATCAACCTGGGGTAGAGATTCGGCAGCCTCTCCATCTCCAGACTCCTCCGCGCCAGTATCGGAGGTCATTCCGGGGGTCGACGCGCGACTGCCAGTAGCGGAAGTGACGGTGGAAGGCGCCAGGAAGGAAGAGCTTTGCTGTGACGGACCACCAAAGGAGAACCCTAGGGCCGGCTGTCCACTGCCAGACGCCTTCGCCCCAGCGGCTGGCGCGCCGAAGAGAGTAGAGAATGGCTTTGAGGAGTCGGTTGATTGAGCGGCCGGCCCAGAATCAGGCTTCGACGTGGTCGAAGCTGCCGTAGCAGTCGAGTCGCCGAATTTGATGGGAGAATCTGGCTTCCAGGTCTTGTCACCTGCTGGTTTCGACGAGCTCTGACCGAAGATGGACGGCGTGCTCGTTCCAGTACTTGCCGGTCCGGAAGTAAAAAGACCACCGCTCGTGTTAACTGAAGACTTGAAGATACTAGATGCTGGCTTAGTTTCGGCAGAATCACCTTGGCCGGGTGCAGGGGTACTGGGTGAGTCAAAGGGATTCGGGGTGGACGTCCCAGGAGTCGTCATGGAAGAAGAGAACTTGGACGAAGGGCTAAAGAGGGAAGAGAAGGGATTCTTTGGTTCCTCGTCGGTTTGCGGCTTAGGCTGAACCCGATCAAATAAACTTTTACCACCGCTCGAGGCTTGTTTTGACTTCGTCAGAGCTCTAGAAAAATCGCCGTCGTCACTGCTGTCATTAGCAGAGAACTCGGCTCCGCTGACCGAGACGGCTTTGGAGTCTGCTTCGCTGGTTTCCGCATCCCGACTACCGTCGTGGTCGCTCGCCGGTACCAGAGAGGACTCTTTAGACTCTTCATCAGCATCTTCCCCAGCAGCTGACGCCTCTTCAGTATCGTCAGCATCATTATCCTCTTCTACCTCTGATGGGGTCGCAGAGAGATGACCAAAGATATTGTTCGCTTTGGCCGCAGTGTCTCGCTTTGCTTCAAAGACGGATGAACTGGCAGTCGAAGTAGATGTCTCTGCTGGTTTCTTGGATTCCGTAGTATCGCTGCTCTCATCCTCAAACACGAACCCCTTGCCTGGAACAAACTTGGCGCGCTTTTTAGACTGAGCCTCCAACTCCTCGCGTTTTTTGCGCTGCTGTTCGGCGTCTTTCCGTTCCCATTCAGCTTCGTCTTCTTCCTCGGAGTCGAAATCTTCTGCTTTGCGCTTCTCCTTTTCCTTCTCAGCACTTTTATCGGCAATGGACTTGAACTGAGCGAAAAAGTTCGTCGCAGTGCCGGTACCGAATTTGGGGGCGGCTGGCGCCTCGGTTTTCCCATCACCTGTGGGCTTCGGGGCGAATAGATTCTGGGCAGGCGTGCTGACACTGGTTGTCGACGACGTGAGCCCAGGGGTTGAGGTAGATTGAGAGAACACGGAGCTGGATGTTGCATTTTGGCTGGTAGTGGTGGATGAAGAAAATATGGGCTTCGCCGGAGACGCAGACGGGGTGGTAGAGAACAGTGCAGGCTTATTGGTCTCTGGCGTAGCTGGCCTGGGAGACACTGCACTTGTGGCCTCTGAATCATCAGCTTTCGATTTCGAGAAAGACCGGGCGAATATGCTAGCTGTGGCAGAGTCACTATCGGAACGGTTCTCAGCCTGAGAGACCGAAACACCAGTTTCAGCCTTTTCCTCAGCCATTTTTCCATTGGTAGTTGGTGTGGTCTGGTTTGTATCAAAAAGCTTAGACGGTGTTGTCGTAATGGAGCTTGGTCCGATGTTCATCTTCTGGGAAGGTGACGAGATGTTGGTACTGGGGGTGCCGAAGGGCTTGACTTTCTTCGCTGATTGCATCTCAAGATCAGCACTTTCATCGTCGGCAGCCTTCCGCTTATATGAGCGCGGTGCGGTTGGCGCACCAATCACTTCACGAACGCGCATGTAAAAGAGCAAGGTAGCATCGAAGTCGTCCGTTGAAGGATTCAGTCGAGCGATCTCGCGTTGAAAGCATTCATTCAACATGCGAAGACTATACACAAGATCAAAATCTTTCTTCTGTTGTTCGCTCATTCCAGTAGGCAATTTGCTCGGACGCAAGCTCTCGGCGAATTGGACTGCGGGAGGCTTGGCTGAAGGTGTTGGCTGAGCGGGTGCTGCACCATTGGCTTTGAAAACGCCTTGGGACGCAGGTGTCTGGATTTTACTCTCCGCAGCGGTGGTCGAGAGAGACGAAGGCTGCGGCGCGAAGAGGCTAGGTGACGGTGGAGCTGCAGATGGAACAGCCGGGGTAGACGCGGCCGGTTTCGCTGGCTCTCCCGCTTTCGCTCCTTCATTAGGTGTGCTAGGCTTGGGAGAAAAGAGTGAGCCAAACGGGGCAGCAGCAGGTGAAGGCTTTTGTTCTGGCGTGGGTTGGGTGGTAGTGGACGGTTTAGGAGCGAAAAGGCTGCTGAAAGGATTTGCCTTGGGAGTCTCGGGCTTATCAGTCCCTGCAGAAGCAGGCTTGGGCGCAAACAGGCTGCCCGTGGCCGGTGCCTGAAACAGGCCATCTGATGAAGTCGTTGAAGGCGCAGCAGCAGCGCTTTCGCTCTTGGAGAAGAGATTGCCTCCGGTTGTGGAGGAGAATTGGAAGCCAGTCTTGGGTGGGGCTGCCTCGCCTGTCTTCTCTTCATGTCCTTTCTCTTCTGCAGGCTTTGGCGTAGCTGATGGGGAGGGCGCGCCTGAGAAAAGGTTGGAAGACTGGAAAGGATTCTGGAACGGCGTTGCAGGCTTGGCCGGCGAAGCAGTACCAAACAGCGCCGTGGCTGTCGTTGTCGTGGGCGTAGCAGAGGTCGATGCGGGCGTAGGTGCCGTAGCGCCTGCTGTGGGTTGCTGGGAAGTAGCACCGAAGAGAGGCGTCGAGGTTGGAGTAGCTTGCTCTGTCGCCTTTGTCCCAAAAAGTGGTTTAGACGGAGTTTGTTGAGCCGCCGGTGTAGCACTCCCAAAAACGGAACCTCCCGCTGGGCTGCCGAAGCCTGTGGATGCGCCAAATGCAGGCTGAGAAGCGCTTCCCCCGAAGATGGCTGGCTTCGATACGGCAGCATTGGCCTTTGGGTCAGGAGATGTCTGCATCGAATCGCTACCGAACGCTGTGGATTGGCCAAAGGGAGAAGGCTTGTCTGATGTGGACTGGCCGAACAGACTTGTAGATGGAGCAGGGCTAGTGGCGTTACTCTGGCCGAAAATGCTGCCAGTGGAGGGCGCTGCTCTCACGGGCTGGCTTGAAGGTGCACTGGTGGAAGTGCTTCCAAATATGCCTCCAGGAGCAGTGGTCTGCTGCGAGCCATTTCCAAAGAGACCGCCCGAAGGCAGAGACTGCTGGCCTGGAGCAGAGCTTCCGGCGGGTGGTACGTTGAACATACTGCCTTTGAAGCCCGAAAACCCAGTAGTATCAGACGGTTGGCTGGGCGCAGGAGTGTCCAGAGTCGCAAAGGGATTCCCTGATGACCCTGATCCACCAAAGGATGTAGAGAAACTAAAGGACGATGAACCAGCACCTCCTGAGCCGAAAGCAAACGGTGATCCTCCGTTCTGAATGGGCTGGCT